GCTGCGTCGATTTGATCAGGGTTGCGGGCGTTGTCAGCTCAGTTACCCTATCTATGAGTTTTCGACCAGCTATATCGACTAATAGCTTATAATGCTCTAAAAAATCTGCTCCAATAATCGGTTGTGTTACATCGGCGATGACAAAGTTCCATACAAAGTTTCTTCGTAGCCCGAAGTTTAAAGAGAGTGTTTTTTCACCATATGTCTTAATTTTTGTACCATTGGCGGCATAAAGTATACATTGTTCATCTTGTATTAGTGAATGTCTCTGTGGCTTGCTAATAACTGAAATATTTGCTCCCGTGTCAATCAAAAATCTCATACCACTTTTTCGGTCGGTAATAGTGAGGCGGTTGGACGGGTGAATAGCACAGAGTTCCGCCGTTGTCCGTGCTTCAATTAGTTTCCCTGTTTCCTTGAGTTGAGATCCTGTTTCCAATCACAAGGTTGAACACACTTTTGTGCATATTTTTTAAATCTTCCATGGTAAAAACAAAAGTGCCTTCTTTCTCTTGAACTCGACTGTGGTAGGAAATGCCGACGATTGGAATAACTTTGAGTGCTGCGTCGATAGTTTTTTTGACCTTGCTGAATTGCATTTAGTTCCAATTGCATTTCTGCTAACTGTGCTAGTATGCATGACATTGTATCGTCGCCAGATTTGTTTCCGTTTACAGCTGACACCTCTGTACGTGTTGAATTTATTAATATCTTGTCCGCGATCTGGCTCATCTTGTTCACATCTATGTCTTCTGTGACTGCTAGAACCGAAGTCACTGATGGTGGCAGAAGCCTCAACCATAGAAGTTTGATGGTTTCGTCGCTGATATTTCCGTTACTCAGGGTCCGCATCTTGCGCAGAAGATGTGATGGTTTCTGGTCGCCGAGATCCATTTCAGACAATAATTTTTGGAGCTGACGTTGGTCTGATTCCTCATAGCAACTGATTAGGCGTTCTTTGATAGCCTTGTACTTTTCTATTGGCGGTGGGCAAGTAATGAGGTCACTAACCTGTATTATTTCTTCTTTTGGCAGTTTTGCAATGACCGTATAGTACTTGTAATCGTCTCCTTGCTTCTGTGGTGCTACTATGGCTTCTAGTTGCTTAAACCATAATCTGGGTTGGTCCCTCCAAGGCTTCTTGTTGGCTGCTGCTTGATTTGCAGGGTGAATGAGTCATGTTGATTGTTCTTCGTCGGGTCACCAATTTGCCAGACTTCGTGGCAAGGTAAATAATGAGACTGTAGATGGTTAAGGTCTGTTTATTACTTTAATTGCTGGTGCTTATATACTAAGAAGATGCGTGAGATTTTCAGATTTAGCTATCCTAACAAACGTGCAACAATTAACATGTATGTCTTATCTCTATCGTATCTAAGTAATGTAGCGACGTGATAGTGCCGCTACAGTAAGCAATCGGCCATGAATACCTTCAACACCAAAGGAGTTACGAGTGCGTTGTCGGCCTTTTGGGGTTAAGGGTTCCGGATATAAGGATCGAGAAGGGGCAAGGATTGGGCCTCCGGTAATCTCAATCACAAGGCGGAACACAACGCTGTGGAACGCTTGTTTCACGCCGGTATCCTGTGAGGCCGTGGTATCACTCCGGTCGAGCCGACACATTCGTGACGAAGCATGGCTCTCCCACCCCACACCACATGAATAGCGTACGGAAATCTGGACTGATAATTTGTACTTATAAATCGCCAATCCACCTTGAGCAAGCGTGGTGGTTATGCTCAAACCTTCTCTGTGTGAGATGAGGTTTTTGCTCAGCAGTGGGCACTTATAGGCTGATGATTATGACGAAGAAATCAAAGGATTAGGTACATGGATCACTGATATTAATAATAATCAAAGCGGCGCCACCTATGAACATTCGTAATACCATAGGAGTGACAAGAGCATTGCTGGGTTTCTGGAAGTTTGGATTTGATCCCTCTCTACGACTGCTCACATCTTTGTATCAGTATCGCTCCAATACTGTGTGATTTGGTTTTTAATTGGTAAGAGTCTGACACTCACTCTCGCCTCGCACAGGGCGGGGAATTTGATGACTATCGACTCAAAAAAGTCACAGCAGCGCTGAAGTTTGACTTTCCTAAATAAGTTTCCACGATTGAATAATTACGGAGTCTAGTACGTGGAGTAACCATGGAGTTTCTTACTAGTTCTTCACCATCGGAATCTACACTTTGGAATGAGCAGATATCTTCACTGAGAACTGACCGACAGACTTACACTTTTGATGTTATATTTCTCTAGGTAATTGAAATGACTTTTACTAGGTACTTTTGTAAAGTCGTGATTGATTTCAATGAAAGAAATACAACCTCAGAATCCAAAGGCAAAGATCTGTCGAGCCCGGATTCATGGTGGTAGCATTTCTAATCAGAGACCGCGGCCCAGCCCGGAGCTGAAATTGTAACGGAGTGGTTTTAGTCAGCGAGAGTCTTTCAAATGGCTTTTGGGTGTCTGACTCTTACTGAGTAAAAACCCCCCGTTCCTTCTCCTGCAGCTCTGGGCCGAGGTCGCGATGCCTCATTGGGCTTACCCCACAACCCCGGCTAAACATCAGCCCTGTAGAGCCCCGTCTGTGGTGGTCTATTGGCTCTTTAAGGCGCGCGCGGAACGCTACGCGCCGTGCGCTCGGGTCTGGTTCTGGTCGGGCGGCGAGCTATCCTTACTCGCCGTCCGCAGACCAGCACTTACGGTGGCCGGATCGTCTCTTGATCCCCGACGCCCGTAGTGTCGCCTGCTGCGGCGCGCGGTTTATTATTGCGAATGCATCCAGCAGAAAGTATATAGATAATTTTTCCACCCATACATAAAAGATCAGGACGGGGACTAATAATTCACAATACTTAAAAATATTTTTATGTGATAGGACGGCAAAAGAGCTGTCGGATTACCTGATGGTAAGCAATTAGCGCCGCCCAAGGACACCCGAAACAAAGGAGTTACGAGTGCGTCGCCGACCTTTTGGGAATTAGGGATTTGGAGGTTTTGAGATTGGGCCTCCAGTAACCTCAAACCCCGCGAAACAACTCTGTATGTGTTTCACGCCGGTTTTCTGTGAGGCCGTGGTATCAGTCCGGTCGAGCCGACCCATTCGTGCCGAAGCATCTCTCCCACACTTCCGACTTATAATCATTGATTCAAAAAGCCATTAAGGAAAATAAAACAACAATTTAATCACAATATAAATAAGATTTAATCGGTACACATAAATTTTTAATACTGACAACCATATTTACAATGAATAAAATAAATAAAAAAATTCAATACACAATTGACACTTATTATAATTAATTGTTATTTTTATATACAGATCTTATATTTGCTAATTAAGGGCTAATTTTTCAATGGTTAGATAAAAGTTACCTGGATAATAAATTATGATGCTGTCGCGTCAGAATGTTTGTATAAGACAGTGACAGCAACAATTTAATTTCACAGATAATATTTATCTGACTATTGAAAAATCAGCCCTTAAGGTACTTAATTTAAGTAATAAATAAATTAAAATTCCGTTTTCAGAAAACATAGCTTTTTTGTCAGGGGAATATCATCAAATGACTTCTCCCGCCCAGGGTAAGGCGAGAGAGAGTGTCAGACTCTTACTGACTAAAAAACCCCCCGTTCATTCTCCTGCTCTAGAGAGATAAAATAGCTGTATCATGTCGAGGGCTGGTTTGTGTTTATGTCATGGAGGCCCTAAGGCGCCCACTTCTCATACACGAGGTTTCAAAACCTGACAAGTACCAATGTGACTTTTTCCGAGTTAATGTACTTTTCTATGATTATTTAGACACCACTGACATACGGTGAAGGAAAACATCGTGAGGAAACCTGGACTTATTCCAGGTTTCCTCACGATGTTTTCCTTCACCTCAATTTCTAATTATAAGTTTAAAATAGCCAATCCGCATTGAGCAAGCGTGGTGGTTATTGCTCAAACCTTCTCCGTGTGAGAAGAGGCCTTTGCTCAGCAGTGGGCACTTATAGGCTGATGATGTGTGATGTATTGAAAACGTGATGTTAAGAAATATTTTAAAATTACTTTTAGAAAGACTGTATGGTACTAGAATATATTGTGATGTATAGTGATGGTGGTAGCATAAGAATTATAATAAGCGTATTTTTTGTGATTAGGTAAGTATATAGAGAGGTTTTATTTGATTTTGCATAATTAGTTTTTAGTTTCTTCTTCATTTTAATTTAAATATGTTTAATTGTTTTGTATTTTGTTCCTTTCGGGTAAAGAATGGAGTGTAAAATCCGAAATAAAAATGTAATATTATCTATACTAAAATTATAAAGAGGTAAAATTTGTAAGTTTTTATGCAGGAGATAATCTTTGGAGCTCCTGGTCGGATTGCCAAAATTCTTTCACTGATAGATAGCTACAATGTTCCTGAGTGCTATAGGCTATAAAACATCACGCTACGATTAAATGGAGCCGAACAGCGGGTGATGCCGCGGGAGAGTAGCTAGTGTTATTTTAAAATAATGTAAGTACATGAAACCTAGCACCAAGCTTCACTGACGAACAGACTGACAGACTTATTCTATTTTGACGTTTCAAAAGTACCTGCTTATGGTTTAGTTGAGATAATTGATTTTGATTTGAGATTTGTAATGTGATGGGGCGGCAACAAGCAGACGGATTACCTGATGGTAAGCAATCGGTTCGGCCAATTGACACCCGCAACACAAGAGGAGTTACTAATGCGTTGCGGGCTTTAGAACTTAGGAGATTTTGGTAATCCCTCCCAATCCCTAAATCTCAAAATCCCTAATCCCCAATAAGTCGACAACGCACTCGTAACTCCTATGTTGGTGAGGGTGTCCATGGGCGGCGCTGATTGCTTACCATCAGGTAATCCGTCTGCTCGTTTGCTGACTTATTACATAAGAAAAAAAAGAAAACAGGGAAGGATTGAGCCTCCGGTAACCTCACTCACACGGCGAAACACAACACTGTTTTACACGCCAGTTTTCTATTACACCGATATAATTAAACTCAAGTGTGATTAAAAAAAAATCAATTAAGTATAATTCGCATCCAATTCATAATTCTGGTGATGATGTGACTTCATATGACTTTTCAAACTACCATTCTGTGTGAACGTCGAGTTACAAATATCACATTTAAACCTTCTATCGCTGCTGTGGGATCGAATATGCTCCTGTAGCGATTGAAGTCGAGGATAACTCTTATCACAGAATTCACATCTGAAATTCCTTTCCCCTGTGTGTGTTGCCATATGTTCTTTCAAACGGGACGGTAAATAGAATCGCTGGTCACACAAATCACATTGATGCCTATAAACTTTGAGGTGATTCCTTCGGTTGTGCTCCATAAGAGTTTTTCTCCTATTGTAAACTTTATCGCAAAGTTTACATGCAAAAGTCCGTTTATCGCCGTGTACCTCGATCAAGTGTCGATTTCTTAGCGCGTAAGATAAAAAACTCGCTTCACATTTGTAACAATTGACCGTTGGCTTCTTCTCGTGCACTGTAGCTACGTGTAAATACCTGCTGTATTTACTTTTCAAATTCTTCCCACATATTTCACAAGGAAAACTCTCCTCGACTTTTGTGTGCGATTTTATGTGCGTCCTTAAGGAATTACGCTCTAAAAAGCACGCCCCGCAAACATCGCATATATAAGTACCGAAATGATCGATCATATGTTTCTTTAAAACGTCGAAATATGGAAAGGCTCCATTACATTCGGTGCAAATCAAATTATCTAAACTCAGTTTGAATTTAAGAAACTCATTCGTGACGGGGTACAACATTTTTCCGTGTACACTAGTGATGTGCTTTTTGAAAACGTCCAAATCATCGATTTTCTCGTTACACAATCGACAATCGATTCTTGTTATATCGATTTTTGGAATTTTACGATTCTCCATTGTGTTTTGGAATAATTCGACTGGATCGTGGGTGAGAGTGTGTTCTCGGAGTTCGTTTGGATTTGTAAATTGATCTCTGCAGTAGAAACAGTAATATATGCTGATTCTGTTCTGAAATGGACAGACATAGGAATTATGGACTATTGTTAGTGCGTTGGTGTACACCATAAAGTCATGGTCCAACTCTTGTTTCTTCTTTTTACCAGGTTCCTTCTTCACTGGGACTTCTGCAACTGAAATACAATGTATTTTAGTCATTGAAAACTGTTTTTCAGTAGCGCTGACAATAGCGGTGAAGGAAAACAGTGTTAGGACTTTTTTCATGAGAAAGGTCGTCGAACAGACGGATTAGCTGATGGTAAAAAATCAGCGCCGCCCGTGGACACCCTGATGGCTTTTTGGCGTTCAACGTTTAGGATATTTAACGATTGTGAAGGGCTGGGGGTGAGGGACTGATCCCGCCCAGGGTGAGGCGAGAGCGACACTCAGATTTTTACTGACTAAAACCCCCTGTTCCTTGTCTTGCTGTCGGCCGAGGTCGCGGTGCCTCATTGCGCTTACCCCGCAACCCCGGCTGAACATCAACCCTATAGAGCTTCGTCTATGGTGATCTATAGGGTCTTTGAGGCGCGAGAAGAACGCTACGCGCCGTATCCTCGGGTAGGTGGATACCCTGGATTAAGATGTAGGCTTCTTTTTACCAACATACCACGCGGAAGATACGCGAACGAATACTAGAAAACGGACCCACCAGAAGAAACCCCAAGGGTGCTACGACTGACCTTTTGAAGAGGGGAAGAGAGAAATGAACATTATTAGTGTGGGAGAGCCATGCTAAGTGTGGGAGAGCCATGCTAAGTGTGGGAGAGCCATGCTTCGGCACGAATGGGTCGACTCGACCGGAGTGATACCACGGCCTCACAGAAAACCGGCATGAAACAACCACAGCGTTGTGTTTCGCCGTGTGAGTGAGGTTACCGGAGGCCCAATCCTTCCCCTCCCCCAATCCCTCCTCAATCCCTAAATCTCCAAATCCCTAATCCCTAAAAGGTTGGCAACGCACTCGTAACTCCTTCGTTGCGGATGTCCAGGGCGGCGTTGATTGCTGACCATCAGGTAATCCGTCTGCTCGTCAGCTGACCTATTATTTGAAAAAAAAAAAAGAAAACTCACCAGGTTTATCCAACATCTCGTCAAGTTTAGCTCGTAGTTTCTTCATCTTGATTGAAATCTCCTTCTTAATTGAATGTTGTCCCCGCTCCCTCTTGGCTCGCGTGCGACCAGACACGGGAGCTTCTTCGACCTCGTTCTTCAAATCCATATCCATTTTCGTGTCTATCGCATCTGTATCTGTATTATCATAATAAAATAAAAATAATTTATAAATTAACTATGTAGATTTTACGACCTAGTGGGGTAAAAATATAGCCTATAGCTTACTTCATAATATTATATACAGGGTGTAAAAAGACACTTAACGAAGCCGTTAACTACGCATACTGCAGTTCTAACTAAGTAGCTTTACGCTAAAATTATCACTGGGAAACGACTTTTATTTTTAGGTATCAAAAATAATAATAATTTTATTGCGCGCAATGTAAAGCAAACGGGCTTCGTGTCATTGTGTGCGTAGGTTCACAGCTTAGCATTAAAACGCTGTGATAAGTACGTAGGTCGACGTTTTACTTCGCAACAACAAAACAATTCTGTAAAATAAAAATCCTACTGAGATGCACGATGTTTTTTGTGCGGGTCTGCATTTATTTATTACGTACATTACTGTTCGTAACTTCAAATGCGTAATTTATTAAGAAAAATCGAAAATTGAGGTAATGTTTGTTTGGAAAAAAGTTTTGTAATAATACTTAGAATTCGATTGCGGAAAAAAAATAAAATAAAAAATGCATCTTTGACCTTCAATATCTCGAGAACCTATGGAGTCCCAGCTATAATGTTAAAGAAAAAAATGATCCAAATAATGGGTAGAATACGTGGCTTTCGGCTTCGTTAAGTGTCTTTTTACACCCTGTATGTCTATGCCGAATTCAATTTTCATTTTAAAATTATTAATATATTTAGAACTTAGACTTCACATCATCAGCCTATAAGTGCCCACTGCTGAGCACAGAACTTTTCTCACACGGAGAAGTTTTGAGCAATAACCACCACGCTAGCTCAAGGCGGATAGGCGATTTTAAACTTTTAAGTAGATATTATAAGTCTAGATTTCCTGAAGATGTTCACCTTCACCGTATGTCAGTGGTGTCTAAATAATCATAGAAAGTACATATAACTCGGAAAAAGTCACATTGGTACTTGTCAGGTTTACATTCCGCACCTTCATGCATGAGAAGTGGGCGCCCTAACCCGGGCCAGCCATGCTATGCTAGGTATACTATGCTAGGAATGCTACGCTTCCTACTTTCTAACATATTTTTGTTACCTATGTTTTACAAATAATAAATGATTGATTGATTGATAACAAACTAACTTTCAGATAAGTGGCGCTGCGACTTTTTTTGAGTTACATTTAGGTACTTTTTAGATTCTTTTGTCTTCAATCTTACAAAGTGTCTGTACTGTACAAACATCTATACTAATATTACAAAGTGTAAGTTTGTATGTAGGGGGTAATCTTTGGAACCGCTAGTCGGATTGCCAAAATTCTTTCACTGATAGATAGCTACAATGTTCCTGAGTGCTATAGGCTGTAAAATATCACGCTACTGGCTAATGGAGCCGAGCAGCGAGTGAAACCGCGCGAGAGTACCTAGTCACTGATAAAGTGGATTGCGGGGTTATCATATCATAAGCCTTTACAATCTCAGTGAAAATTACGAAGGAGGAAAACAATTTTAATACTTTACCTCCCATATCCTGATCGGGGAGATCATCCCTATCTTCCATTCCATCAGACTCTTCGCATAATGGTTCCGCTTTGATCACTACCTCGACTTTATCCGAACAATCTGGAAAAGACATAATATAAGTGTAGGTACTATCTTACTACATAGTATAAAACAAAGTCGCTTTCTCTGTCCCTATATCCCTATGTTTTTTTTTTATGTAGTAGGTCGGCAAACGGGCAGACGGATTACCTGATGGTAAGGAATCAGCGCCGCCCATGGACACCCGCAACGGAGTACGAGTGCGTTGCCCACCTTTTAGGGATTAGGGATTTGGAGATTTAGGGATTGAGGAGGGATTGGGGGAGGGGAAGGATTGGGCTTATATCTTAAATCTTGTATGCTTGTATGCTTAAATCTTTTTATTTTAACTACACAACGGATTTTGATGCGGTTTTTTTAATCGATGTGAGTGATTGAAGAGGAAGGTTTATATGCATGATAATATCCATTAAATAGTGGAGCAATTTAAGCTGGGTAGGGTTAGTAATTCTTTAATACTTTTTAATACGTTTTTTTGACGCACGATAGGCGCGGAAGCTAGCTGTCGCCCAACGTGCCGACTCGATTCTGACACGGGACAAGTCTTTGACTGATCGACAAATGTTATATCGGGTCTAGGATTTTTTATGAGGGGAATCATTATAAATTCTGAAGCCCAAGGCGGTGCGGGACGGAGTATCAGACTCTTACTGACTAAAAACGCCCCTTTTCCTTCTCCTGCTCTAGGCCGAGGCCGCGGTGCCTCATTGCGCTTACCCCGCAACCTCAGTGGAAAATCATCAAATGTCTTCTCCAGCCCATGGTAAGGCGAGAGAGAGTGTCAGACTCTTACTGACTAAAAACCACCGTGTTCTTTATCCTGCTCGATATCAAGGCCAAGGTAGAAATCATCAAATGACTTCTCCCGCCCGGGGAGGCGGGGCGGGAGAACAGTTAGACTCTTATTGACTAAAAACCAGCTATAAGCCGAGGCTGCGGTGCCTTACGCTTGCTCCGCGAACTCAGTTGAACCGAGTATGGGTGTCATTTGTATGTGAAATTGCATGTCATGAGAATATACTAGGTACAGTCTCAACAAGTTTTATATATAACAAACTATATTACCTTCTTTCAAATGCAGCCTCGTACTGAGAAACACCTCTTCGGATTGGAGTACTTGCTGTCTGAATGCACAAGCATCCCGGAGTCTCACCACGCAGGTTGCACATATACAACACTCCTTAGTCTCTCCATCGAGGTTTGATAGCTGAAATGAGAAAATTTGATATTTTTTTTATGGAATAAAATAAATATTAGTGTTACACTGTTCTCACATAATTGAACCAACTGTTTGTAAAAGGAATCGGTATGTGAAACTTATTTAAAAAGAGTAACCATGGAGTTTCTTGCTCGTTCTTCTCCATAGGAATCTACACTTTGGAACGAGCAAATAGCTTCACTCAGAGTACTAACTGACAGACTGACACTATCTTCAAAATTTTGTTTGATATTGAAAGGTGCCTGTAGGGTTCTAATTGGAATAAATGATTTTTGACTTTTGAATGAAGTAACGGATAATCTGCTGAAAAGCAATCAGCACCTACGGAGATTCGTAATACCAAAGGAGTTGAGTCCAAGGATATTACTTACTGATTAAATTGTGGTCCAAGTTAAGGTACCTGTACATTTTTGCACTTGCAACCGTCAAGCCTGAAGTTTTTCGATTGCAAATTTGCTCTTTATGATCTTTAATTTACAACACACAGTGTTACACTCATTTAAAAGACCTGAACCTTTTTCTTTGCTAAATTAAAAATGCTTAAGCAAACATTATCTTAATACAGAAATAACGAGTTAAGGATTGGTCTATGAAGAATTAAAATAGAAAAGATCATTGCTTTATTATTTTATTATGTACACAAAAATGTCGCTCTTTTATAACTCTTTACAGGAAAGACCTAAGATAATATCTTGCTGACCAGTATATGTACATAAGTTTCGTCATTAAATACTACTAAAATACTACCTTACTACATAGCTAGACGATTTTAAAACCCAAAATTCATGCGGATAAATAGAAATAATAACAAAAAACTATCCTAAGTCGATTTCGTTACATTTAGTTCTCATACCCTCGCTATTCAACTTTACAAAGCTGAGGAACTTGTAAATATGTACGAGAATAAAAAAGCTACGTTAATAAAGCTGTATTATACTCACAAGAAGCCCAAAACAATCCATAAACATGTCTGAATAAGTTTCTTTAGTTCCCATCCATTCGTACTCTACAGTTAACAGACGGCATTTCTTTATAGATCTGCAACATCTGCATAGGGCAGGGTCTATGATTGGACCTTTGCCTTTAGCTGGAGCTGCAGAAGTCTCCATTTTACACTGAATATGTATTTTTCATTTAAAAATAATATTTTCTTTATGATGAATAGAAAATCGAATTTTTGTTCTCGTATTGTTTGACGTTTGCGACCCCGCGTTCCAGTATTACAACTTTCCAAATGTCATTTTTCAGGCATTTTGAGCTTGTCAGATTTGTAACTGTTTCTCTCTTTCTGTTTAAGTAATAAAGAAAGAAATAATCCTCACGAATAACTACCGGAAATATATTATGAAGGATGGGACGGTTGACATATGTCGGGCATGTCATAGCCCCGGTGAATCCATCAGACATATTATTTCCGGCTGTGGTCGTTTGGCTAATGGCGAATACTTGCACAGACATAATCAGGTGGCCAAGATTATTCATCAGCAACTTGCTTTGAAATACCGGCTTGTTGAGTCTGAGGTTTCGTACTACAAGTATGTGCCCGACCCAGTTCTCGAAAAAGACCATATCACATTGTACTGGGATCGGTCTATCATCACAGACAGGACTATTGTAGCCAATAAGCCTGACATAGTGTTGGTAGACCGACTAGCGCGTCGCACGACGATAATCGATGTTGCCATTCCTCATGACGAGAACCTCGTGAAAGCTGAGAAAGATAAACAATTAAAATATCTTGACTTAGCTCACGAGGTTGTTGACATGTGGAGTGTGGACTCGGCTATCGTTGTGCCGATAGTTGTGTCGGCAAATGGGTTAGTCCCCAAAAGCCTCGACAACCACCTTAAGAGGCTGACGTTAGGCGGATGGATCAAGGGCCTCATACAGAAGGCAGTCCTCCTTGAAACGGCACGTATTGTGAGGAGGTTCCTGTCTTTGGAGCCCTAACTGCCGGTAGCTTGGACCTTGCTCCCGCTGCCGACTGGCACCTACTTTTATATTTTTAAATATTATTTTATTTTATTTTATAGTAATATTTAAAAATGTAATTTTAGAGTAATTTTATTAAATATATGGAAAAAGAAATAAAATATTGTTTAATATTTAGTCCAATACTAGATTTAAGATGATTTAAATCGATCGACTGTGTTATATTTCTGCTTCAAATGCTCATTCATAAGTTTTAAAACCAAAAGAGTATGTGTTTTAGAAAAAAATCTTATTCTGCAGCAATTTTGTTCATTTCGGGATTCGTACCTCAAGCCCAACTAACGATAGAAAATACTTTTTCGTACAAGGGATTATGTTTATCAGCGCAACCGTAAAAGCAAGTGGCGTCAAGCTAAAATTTTTTGCTGCAGCAGGTAGGTGCATATGCTGGCAAAGCCTATTGACGATAGTTTTCGTTGTTATCCCAGCGGTTCGCTTGCCTTTAAACTGGAAGACTTTTGATGACGTTTCACGCAGATACTTACCCTATCTCGATTTTATTCATTCATTAGCTTTTCCCGTGACATCGTTTGCGTGGAATAATGACTTCCTGCTGATTTTTTGTTTAAAAACTATTTTATGTCCTTTCTCGAGTTTCAAACTATGTCTGTACCAGATTTCACACAAATAAGTAGATTCAGTAGTTTAGGAGTGAAGACAAGATAGACAGACAGACAGAGAGTGTTACTTTCGCATTTATAGTATTAGTTTGGATTTCGGAGGACACGATGGAGCATACGGTGGTGGTGTGCACTGCTTGCATCGCCGCCCACGCCGGCAACCTCTCACGCCTGGTCTTCGTGAGGCTTGTTGAGAGCCTTCTTTTCCTTCTACGAAGCTGTCATGCTGGCTAAGGAGGAAACGGAGGATATGCATCATCCTACCCGCCACGGGGGACGCTCCGGGCGCTGGAGGAGATGCTCTCCGACCACAGTAAGCGTGGACGGCGAACCAGAATAGCTCCCCGCTCAACAAGCGTAGACACGAGCATATAAGTAGGTACATTACGCGAAGCAAGATTTTGACCAGAAATTAAGGAGACCTTTTCTCCAGCAGTGGACTATAAAGGATGCCTAATGCTGACATGACCTTTTTTATACGAAAAATGTGCAAACGCGTTACCTGATGGTAAGCAATCGGTGTCGCCTATAGACACCCACCACGCCAGAGTGCTTGAAAATGCGATAACGGCCCTTGTAGGAGTTTGAGGGGGATTAGGAAGGCAAAGAAAATGATTAAGCCTCCGGTAACCGCACTTGCACGTTGAAACAACACAAGTATTGTGTCACGCCCAATGATATTATAAGTAAAATGGTGTAGATAGGTTACCTAAACAAAATTCGATTTTCAAAAACGACACTGATACACACATGAACAATTCGTATGTTTAGGCGTTTAAGTGAGATGGCATGATTCAATAATCGCGAGTGAAAAAGAGACAAATATGAAAAAGTGTGGCTAGGTAGCCACATTTTAATGTATCACTTGCTGAGCGCTTGTAACCTATCTAGGTACACCTTTTTACTTATAATATCATTGTTCACGCCTGCTTTTTGTAAAGCCGTGGTGTTACTCCAGTCGTGCCGGCCCATTTGTGAAGAAGCATGACTCCAACCAGCGTAACAAAATAAAACCAAACAAGAATCCATTGTCAATATTTTAATTATAAAACTTAATAAATAATATCCTTAAATATACATTGTGATCATTATTATTATGCATCTATATATTTATAATAGTTACCTATGTCTACATTAATATTCTTATAATTTTTCTAATTACAATAAATAAATCTAATTAAATATTTCATTATTGGGTATATAACCATTTAATACTAGCTTCTAATAGCGGCTTCATATCATTTAAAAGCCTATTTTTATTCCAGACTTACAATCTATATCTGTGGCAATTCTCATCAAAATCCATTCAGTAGTTTTTGCGTAAGAGTGACGAACATCCATCCATACTTACAAACTTTCTACTTTTATAAATATTATTAGTAGGATTTGTTTAGAATCTGTTCATAAGTTAATTTAAAATAACGACTTACTCACCTGAATGAACTGAGAAAACGTCGCCACGACGCGCACGCTGCTCATGAATAAGAGTCCCGTTGTGACTCGAAACTAGTCGAGCTTTTCTCGTATAATTCATGTGAGTAAGTCGTTATTATCAATAATATTAGTATGTCTCACGATAGTTACTATTAAAAAAACTGATTATTATAGACTGGGATATAGGGACAGAGAAAGCGACTTTGTTTTATACAAAGTAGGGATAAGTTCCACGAAAAAAGGTTTTTTTATGTGTCGACAAACGAGCATACGGATTACCTGATGGTAAGCAATCACATACGCAACGGCGGAGGAGTTATGAGCGCGTTGCCGACCTTTTGAGGATTAAGGAAGGATTATGGGCATCCAGTAATCTCACTCACACGGCGAAACACAACGCTGTGGTTGTTTCACGCCGGCATTCTGTGAGGCCGTGGTTGGTATCACTCCGCTCGAGCCGACCCATTCGTGCTGGAGCATGGCTTTCCCACACTAACGTGCTGATCGCCATGTAACGGACACAACTAGGGTTTCCATACTTTTGACAAATGGAAAAAAATCTCATAACTACTTGCTCTACCCGGGCGAACCAGAAATTCCCTTTTTGGTGAGGGGAAAATCATTAGCTACTATACCCTCGCCCAGGGTGATGCGAGAGGGAGTTCCATTCTTACTGACTGGAAATCGCCCCATTCTGCTTTAGGCCGAGGCCGCGGTACCTTAACCCCTACAACAGTATTTAAACTCGTCTCAATACGAGCAACAAGTCAATTGTCAATTCCCTTAAAAAAATGATGAAAGTTACAAGTAAAGGATTACAATAATAAAAAAAAATAACTAATGATTACAAAAATATACATACCTACTATATCTATGTGTAGGTATATTAAACAAAAATACTGTATAGAGATTCATAATTTAAAGAAAAACAGGCAGCACTAAAAATTTAAAAAATGAGATCAAAGAATTACTTCCAATACGTTTTTTTAAATTCTCCCATATTGAAATAGAAAAATTAGGTTAAGAGTACAAATAACTATTAGGTCCATAAATTACGTAAGGTGTTTAAGGAGGGGCCGAGGGAGTCGAGTCGAATCTCATCTAATCTTACGTTGGAGAGAAGAAGAAGAAGGGGGTCTCGGCAAATATCACGCAATTTTTTTCTGAATGAAACAAAAAAATACTATGTTGATCTATTTAATCCAGATTGTACATGCTTAAGATTGAATCTTATAAATCATTTACTAATAAAAGGAAGATGCAAATTTATCTTTTTCTTTTTACAATAACATTCCAACGCGTTTACGTAAGAAACTCACATTTTGAAAAATCTCACGTGAGATTCGGGGATGGGGGAGGGGTTGAATAAAATCTCACGACATCTCACCAGGGGGGATGGAGGGGCAGAAAATTTAAAAAAACACCTCACGTAATTTATGGTCGCCCCCTTATTGACAATAACGACATGCCTATATCAATTACCTGCGAAAAGCACTACTAGTTCACAAAGGGACTCTCAAAGATCTCAGAAATCACAAAGGGACTCTCATTCATTAGAGCTTATCTTAGTTCGTTATTGTAAAATAATGAATAGCGATTACATACTGAATGTACCACATAAAGTTTGGAGTCGATGGTATATATGTAACTACTTAAAAAAAATATATACCTACGCTATTTTTGTAGGTATTTCGGGCATTCTACTCAATGTAGGCACGATTATATGATCTAGGCACAGAGTAGATGACAATTGGAGTGATAATAGTAAGTTTTCACCGCCCTGACTTTGCCATAGCCCTATCTATACTAACACTAGCGGTCGCCTGCGGTTTCGCTCGTCGTAGTCAGTTTTACATTTTCTCAAGATTTATTTTCTCTACGTGCAAACTTTCTCTAGACTTCCACAAATAATTCAAGACCAAAATTAGCTAAACCGGTAAAGACATTGTTGAGTTATAACATTACAAAGAGGGTATTTATAAGTTTTTATTTAGGCTGTAATTTTTGGAACGACTAATCGGATTCCCAAAATTCTTTCACTGTTAATTGGCTAGTTTCCTAGGTCAAAAATAAATTAATTCCACATTTAAATACAATAAAACATTGAAAAATAACTATACTTTCATTCGTCGATCGTTCGATACACTAAGTTTTAGATATTTATTAGCTAATTCTTAAGAAATAAGTAAGCTATTCGACGCAAAAATACTATGACGTCATACCTCAGTTTTTCATACAAATTTCGTAGATAAGTATAGTTTTTGACGTTTGGATAAAAGAATTGAATTTGACTAGTTGGAAACTACCGTGTTAGCTACAAAGTTCTCAACTGCTATAAGCTTTAAAACATCACCCTACGACCAAAAGGAGCCGAGCAGCGGAAAAACTGCGCGACCGTAGTTAGTCTGTAAAAGTATCCATTTTAAAGTTTATATATATTATCACTCCATTTGTTAAGTTCTGTGCAAAAGCATTTACCATCATATAGATACAATATTTATAACAAAAAATACAGTATAGAATAAACACTACACAACTATAGTTTATCAGTTTAGTTAGCTAACTAACACCCGGTTTCCGAAAGGCCGATCAATGTTAAAATCAATTTAATCTCTAGTCAAGTCATCTGATTGGTGGACTGAATTTTAGCGTTGACAAGCCTTTCAGAAACCGGGTGTTAATGTTAACAATCTTGGCATGTCTTTTTATATAAAAGTTGTATGTAAAAATGTTAACAATCAGGTACTTATAAACGAGCAGACGGATTACCTGATGGACGGCAACGGAGGAGTTACGAGTGCGTTGCCGACCATTTAGGGATTAGGGATTTGGAGATTGGGGGAGGGGAAGGATTGGTCCTCCGGTAACCTCACTCACACAGCGGACACAACGCCGAGGTTGTTTCACGGTGGTTTTCTGTGAGGCCGTGGTATCACTCCGGTCGAGCCACCCATTCGTGCCGAAGCATGGCTCTCCCACACTTAAAAGATGTTATCTAATAAACCAAATTTAAATAATCTTTGTATGTCTTTTACACGACCTCTTTAATATAAAAAAGAAATACCAAGATTGTTAACCTTTAGTTAACCATCTAAACAGATAGACTATCACTTGGTTTCTGAAAGGCTTGTCAATGGTAAAATTAACTAATCTCCTGTTAAATCTCTTGTCAAGTCATCTGATTGGTTGTTGATAATTCAGTCAACCAATCAGATGACTTGACAAAATATTAAATTGATTTTAACATTGATCGGCCTTTCGGAAACCGAGTGTTAATGTACTTTCTTATACATAGATACACTTATATACATAAATAATTAATCAAGCTATGTATTAAAATTAAATTAATACTTATAAAAATGTGATGTACCTATTACTGTTTGCTTGTAATATGTAATAATAATTAAATTATACTTAAAAAATATACTTCAGACTATTCTTGTGTAATCTCAATTAAAAACGTTGATTTGCGATCTGGTGGATTTATTTTATACCAAAAATCTGGCTGCAAAGATTTTTGGTACGGAAAAAAATATTTTTGAAATTTCATATTATCAGCCTGTAATGGCCAACTGCTGAGCAATGGCCTCTTCTCACACGGAGAAGGTTTGAGTATTAATCGCCACGCTTGCTCAAAGCGGATTGGCGATTACAAACTTAAAATTTGAAATTATAAGTCCAGGTTTCCTCGCGATGTTTCCTTCACCGTATGTCAGTGGTGTCTAAATAATCATAGAAAGTACATATAACTCGGTAAAGTCACATTGGTACTTGCTAGGTTCCGAACCCGCGCCCTCATGCATGAGTAGCGGGCACGTTAACCTCCGAGCTACCACGATTCAATTATTATTTTTAACAACTTATTGGCGTAGTTGTTACAGGGTATCTCGAATAGTTTCAAGCCACTGAAGTTGGTTGCAAAACGTTCACATCGTCGTTAGTCGCGCAAATTCGCTCATTGCTGTGAGCCCCGAGCGTGACTTGAAATCATTTGGGTTACCTTGTTACATGCGAAAATAAGTCATTATACACAAATCTCTGATGCATAAATTATTATTTCGTATCTGAGTGTAATGTGTATGTGAATTTGTTTGTTATTAAAAGAACATTATTAAAAAAGGTACAAACTGTAAGTTTGGGCCACTTTGACCCTTCGGGGATAACTTGGATCCACAATGTAAGAAAAATATTTAATAACAACAAAAATATAACAGTTTTATGTTTACCTTCAAGATACTTATAAGGTTTTGCGTTATTATAAGGCCATTTGTAATGAAAACTATTATTAAAAATTTTGTAACGGTTTTTCAAGTTTACAATATGGGTGTCATCTAGCGAAAACTAAATCTAAATAAATCGAAAACATTTTATGAAAAAAAAAAATAGCCGATCTACAATAATTCTTCGAACAACAATTCCCCGAAAAAAAATTCGTCTAATGACAAATTCGTCAAAAAAAAATTTATTTTTTTCGAAATAGGTATGTGTTTGATGAATTTTCAGCAAATCCTAACTTATCGGAGTGGAGTAACAAATTGATTCGTTTTGGGCAAAAAGTGTCGTATTTACGGAGATAAACCGCATAGAAAAATCTATGAAAAAAGGCTATCGGACCATCCACTTTAACCAAGAATAATCCAGAACCAAACATACCAATTCGTTCTTCATTGCTTTGAAAAATTTGAATCAAAATTACCTTCCGATGTCATAGTAACCCTTATATACCTATTGCTATCAAATTTTATACACCACCAAATCGCACGATCAAACCTAAACTTAGAAATAACATCCTTCGATATCACACTCTGGGTGATGGCTCTTAATATGAGATTTCAGACTAGCATTCTGTATGAACGCCTGCCCGCATATATGACATCTATACCGCCTATCATTCGTATGCGTTCGTATATGATACTGCAAAGATTTTAGCCTCGGATAACTTTTTTCACAATACTCACATCTGAAGTTCCTTTCCCCTGTATGCGTCGCCATATGTTCTTTTAACCGCGAAGGCAAGTAAAACCTCTGATCACAATACTCACATTGATGCTTTAAAACTTTTTGATGATTCCTCCTTTGATGTTCTGTCAAAGTCTTTTGTCTATTGTAGACTTTGTCGCAAAGGTTGCATGGGTACGTCCTCTTTTGTCCGTGGGCTTCTGTCAAATGTTTATTTTTTAAAGCGTAAGACATAAAACATTCGTCGCATCTAGGACATCGGATTATTGCTTTCTTCTTATGTACTATATCGACATGCATGTCCTTATAATGGTTTGATTTAAAAACTTTACCGCAAACTTCACAAGTATGTCTTTCGTCATCCTTATGCCGTTTCAAATGGGCGTCCAACCTCGGTTTCTCTAAGAAGCACACACCACATATATCACAAGTATAATTACTAAAATGTTCCACCATGTGAGTATTTAATGTATTAAAGTCTTCGAACACATCGTTGCACATAACACACACTAAATCGTTCCACGTCAACTTGTAAAGTAACATTTTGTCAGGAGCTTCAAAATAGATCTTCTTCCCATGAACTTGGTCTATATGTTGTTTGAAAACGTTTAAATCATCGATTTTCATTGGACATAGTCTGCAGTCTATCCTTGTGATGTCAATTTTTATCATTTTTTTATAGCCCATTAGGAGCTGAAAAGGCTTGGTGTCATGTGACACTGTATGTTCTCTCAAATCCTCTGGTTTGGGGTAATAGTCTTTACAGTAGAAGCAATAATAGTTATTTCTTCTATTCTTGAATGGGCACACGTATGAGTATTGTATAATTGTAAGTAAATTCTCTTCGGACATACAATCTAGGTCTCTGTCATAGTTATTCTTCTTTTCAACGGGCGGTTTCTTTATTGCTTTCGGTGATTTCTTTGTCGACGTACCTGGGGGAAAAAATGTGTATAAAGATTAAATTATAAATATGTGTACTTAGATATATTCATAAGCTCTCTGGTAACGGCAGTAAAGAATATATTTTTTACTATTGGGATTTGACAAAACAGATCTTCACAGACTGTATTGGTCAGGTCCTTTTTTGTAAATTGGACTACCCTATCACTGCCTTCCAAAACCACTGCACCTCCTGTGCACCAGGATTTACAGTAGATTCGGTTTGCGCGTAGGTGGGCCAAGCTTTAACACGAAAACGTCGGCTCGACCGAAGTGATACCACGGTCTCTCAGTAGAGAACCGGCATGAAACAGAGCGTTGTGTTTCGCCGTGTGAGTGAACTTACCGGAGGCCTATTTCTTTCCCTCCTCAATCCCTAAATCTCCAAATCCCTAATCCCTAAAAGGTCGGTAACGCACTCGCAACTCCTCCGTTGCGGGTGTCCATGGGCGGCGCTTATTCCTTACCATCACGTAATCTGTCTGCTCGTTTGCCGTCCTATCACATAAAAAATAAAACTTTGAACATTGGTCTGTTGGACCCCATCTGTGGTGGTCTACTGACTCTTTGAGGCGCGCACGGAAGGCTAAGCGCCGTACGCTCGGCACTAATTGAGGCAAATACCACCTAAAATAATAAGAAAAACTCTTTTACAGAACATACCAGCTTTAGTCTTCTTAACAGCAGTTTTCTTCTTCTTCTGCGCCCCATTGGTCTTCCCTTTCTTCTTTGCTTTCTTCTTGATGGGTTTATCGGAGTCTGACGACGACCCAGACCAGTCGCTGTCATCATCATCGTCTTCACCGAGCTTCAAGTCTTCATCAGGTACTTCTGTTTTGTCCAATGATTCTTCTTTTTTAGGCGGTTTCGGTTCTGTAAGAGTTTTATTACAATAGATAGTCATTTATTAAATTATTTGATTGCCTTCTAGACAAATTATTTTATTCTGTGGTTGTTTTTTTAACTTATTGGCCGTAGTGAATTTGCCTATTATAGGTTAATAGTTAATCAAAAGTCAAAAAAAGTCAAAAATCATTTATTCCAATTAGACCTTTACAGGCACTTTTGAACGTCAAACAAAATTTTGAAGATATAGTGTCAGTCTGTCGGTCAGTCCTCTTAGTGAAGCTATTTGCTCGTTCCAAAGTGTAGATTCCGATGGAGAAATCAAAAGGAGTTTTGAAATTAATGTTTTTTTTTTACTTGCTATAAACTAGTGCTTGACTGCGATCCCACCTGATGGTAAGCAGTGATGCAATCGTTGATGGTAAGGCGCACTAGTTTATTAAGAGCCTATTCACTCTAGCCTTGAAGACACCTAAATTATATTTGGACGGAAAGACTGCAGCCGGCAAACTGTTCCAATCCCTCGATGTAGTATAAATGACGAGGCAAAGCGCTTAGTCCGGGCCGCAGGTGTCTCAACAACGTAAGGGTGGGTATTTGTCGTACGCCGGGATGTCCGAAGGTGAAATGGGGATGGCGGAATCAAATCAAATGGTAATACTATACTCTCGCCTAGTGTCAGACTCTTACTGACTAAACCCCCCTTCTCTCCCCGTTCCTTCTCCAGCTCCAGGCCGAAGCTGCAGTCCCTTACTGTGCTTGATTCGCGACCCCGGCTAAATTTCTGCTATACAAATGCAATCTCTGGCTAGGTACAAACAATTTCCCTTTCCTGGTTATTTTATTTATAAGTCTGCAACGGCCTATGCCAAGCGCGGAGTCTCCAATTATACCGATTTGGACAAAAAAGAATAAGTCAGATGGGAGTATTTAGGTGACTTTATTTGTTTTTTTTTATCACATCCAGATTACCCACCCGCCATGGGCGGCGCTGATTTGCTTACCATCAGGTAATCCGCATGCTCGTTTGCCGACCTATCACATAAATATCAAAAAAAACATGGCACTGATACATACCTTCCAATTCTTCAGGATATCCAATAGACATGTTGTCATCATTGTCTATTCCTCCGGAATGCTCGCTCAGGTCATCCTTCGGTTCTATCTTGAGTTCAATGTCCATTTGTGGCTTGTCCACCTTTGGTTCTGTAATAAAAAAAAACAAACGTACTAATATTATAAAGAGGTAATTGGGTAGTTTCCCGAGTCAAAAATTAATTAATTCGACGTTTCAATACAATAAAATATCGAAAAATAACTATACTTTCATTCATTGATCGATCGAAATACTAAATTTTTGATATATTTTTTTAGCTAGTTTTTAAGAAATAAGTAGGCTATTTGACGTTAAATACTATGACGTCATATCTCAGTATTGAATTTGACTAATTGGAAACTACCGTATTGTAAGTTTGTATGTAGGGGGTAATCTTTAAAACCGCTGGTCGGATTCCCAAAATTCTTTCACTGGCATATAGCTAGAATGTTCCTTAGTACTATAGGGTATATTTTATTCGTGTATTATGGGTAGTAGTTCCGTCGGGACGCGGGCGAAGCTGCTAAATCATAAATTCCGACTACACAAATTCTATTTTTTTATAAGAACTCAAAAACATTTATTTCAATTGGAAAGATAAAGTTTCAGTCTCTCTGTTAGTATCTCTAGCCTCACCCTGGATTTGGATTTTTATTGGTAGGTAGGTGACGTAATAAGGAGTGACTTATACTTTTCATTTCAGAAAAAATCTTTTATTTTTGTCTTTAAAGAAGAAAATCATACCGCGCGATAGCGTTTAATAAATTTTACGCGGGCAGAATCGCCGTTACAAGCTTTGACTGCACGATTGGTGCAGCGACTGGGCAACTGGTTGCTGTTTAACGTGTCGTTTTTGTGATTCACAAATTGTTGTTTCGAATCTGGATGTCATGTGTTTGTGAACACACCCACGACACAGGAGAAAATCCTATTGTGGGGCAACATTAAAAAATATAAAATAAAACAAAAGTGTTTTTTTTTTAACTTATTGTAATAAGTTAAGTTTAATTACGAAGTAATTCTTTGGTTGAACTGCAAATCAATCGAAATCCTCTTGCATAGTAGTTATGTTGGGGACATATATATATATATATATTTTTTAACTTGCAATAAACTAGTGCTTGACTGCGAACCCACCTGATGGAACGCGGTGATGCAATTGTTGATGGTAAGGCGCACTATCCTTATATAATTAGTGGACTTACCTTCCAAAGCGTCCTTTTCCTCCTTATCCTCAAGTTTAGCGCTGAGGAACAGCTCCTCGCATTGCAGCACCTGCTGTCTAAAGGCACAAGCATCACGGAGACGCACCACACATGTTGCACATACTCCACTATCTTTTTCATTGTCATCTACATGAGAAAGCTGGAATTAAAATTAGTTTTTATTATTTTTAACAAGCGACCGGCCCCGGATTTGCAGGGGCATAAATACTGATATTATTAATGCGAAAGTAGCTCTCTCTGTCTTTTCTTCACGCAACTACTGAACAGATTTCTGTGAAATTTGATACATACATTGTCCCGGCTAATGTCCGCTTATGTCCCACCTAGCCTATGCAAAGGTGTTCCTAGGCGGATATTAATTAAAAAAAATGGGTAGTCGGTAAAATCGATACCTTTATTGCCACTAGCTCGGTCGGTACAAATATGAGGGTCAGTAGAATGACGGGTTAGAGCCTATACAGCGATTAACACCCCTCCTGGTCTAGCACTCCCCTGACGTCACTGGCCGCTGCAGGAGATGAGTGCCCGCGCGTCGATCGCCAGGTCCAGACTCGGATGTGTGGGTTTAAGGGCTGACCCGCAGCTCTCCACCGCGGTGAAGCAGGATCCGAATGGTAGCGTGAAACCCCGATTGGGGTTCAATTCACACACACACAGAATATGTTTTGCCACTATTAATATTAGGATACTATGTCGAGGGAACGGTAGGGACGCCTTGAGAAAAATATATTTAATTTTTACGACGTCACTCGCACTATTAGGGAGCACGAGTGAACGGACGTGCGCTCGCCTCGACAACAGGAATCGTTCTCCGGCGACGTGGAGACGTTCTGTCGCTATCGACCTTGCCCCCGCGCCGAGAACAAAGGAACCTGTTCTAGGTGCCTAATATGACGCTCGTTAATTACGTGCGTGGTGATAAAATGTAGCTGGCCAGAAGTCCGATTTGATGCGTTCATTATTAGTTTTCATTATTATTATTAATATTTTATTTCAGACATTAAAACATGTAACAATTAATGTTACAACATAGTTTGGAACTCAAGAAAGGATGTAGGGTAGTTTTAATACCATAAATCTGCAGAAAGTCACTATTCCACACGGAGTCGAGGGGAAAAGCTAGTTGCATATATAAATCTTCCCCTTCAATCTGTCTATCTAAATAAACAGATACATCAAAATTGGTTGTATAGTTTTAAAGATTTAAGCATACATAGAGATATAGGGATAGAGAAAGCGACTTTGTTTTATACTATGTAGTGATTATGGTTAAGCCTTTCAAATTCCTTTTTTGTATTATTTCTGTTTACTTAGGAAATATAAGGTGTTTTTATTGTATATTAAGTAGCACTCCCCTACTATTTCATCTGCTTATGTCTCCTATTGGACATAGCACAATGTTATATAGACATTCATTTTAATAAATAAAGAAAATCATCACAAAAATATGAACTTTTTGCCTTTATTTGTTAAGGAACCTTTAAATACATTACAAGTTTCTGCCTGTTTGTTATTAGAGACTTTAATCAATCTCTGTACCAAATTTCATTCATATCTGTCCAGGGGGTTTAATATAAAAGACTAACAAACATAAAGTAAATTAGCAAAGTTTTGTATTTTTATGATGTTAATTGATTAGCAGTCTCATTATACCAAAAAATATACATAAAACTAAAGAAAGACATGTTCACTTCAGCAAAACATATAGAAAATATCTTAATTAAATAAATATTAAGTACCAAATTATTTTTGAAACATTTGAATTGGAACTGGCTAATGTGCAGTTTTTAACATTGTCATACATTTATTTACTGTTTTAAAATTAAAGTCTATATCTACTAAATAATGGCCTATATTTCAATTATAACTTGAATACTGTTTTTTTTTTAATTATAAATTAAAATTAAAATTCTAAAAGTAAACACAAAAAGTTATCGCAATAATTAATTTGGATTCGAGATTCAAATTCTGAGTCCATAGCGTAAAAATGTTTATTTTTCACTGACCAAGATCCCAAAGCAGTCCATGATCATATCAGCGTACACTTCCTTCTGCTCCATCCAAGTATATTCGGCTGTGAGAATACGACATTTTTTTATAGCTCTACAGCAACGACATAACGCTGGGTCTATTATTGGCCCATTATTCTTGACTGTAGCCATTTTAGTACGATTTAATCTCTGCGGATTGAAAAGATCACAACTTCAGCATTATTTACGTTCGGTATTTATCATATTTTTGTTGTTTTATGTAATTTTTATTGAAGAAAGCTTTTGGGAAATAATTTCACGACAAATCTACAGCCTTTCTTGGCTCTTGTCAACAGTACAACAGTATAGAGTAAAAAATGTCAATAACTGTTTGGTTTCCGCGTTTAGTTTGCCATAATGACAGTAAAATATTTAAGAAAATAAAAAAAGCATGTCGACCTGTTTATGGGTTATTTTATTAGATTTAAAATATTTTAGGATATCTCCTAATTTGGGTCTAAAATAACCCAGAAAAGCTCACAAATATTGACAGAGTCGGATTTCAAAGTAGAGAGGCAAGCGGCATAGACATTTTAAATTGATAACGGAACGTGGGACGCGGCTTTTGGCCTTTAGTCTATGTTGTAAAATGGCGGTGTTTCATTAGGTGAATATATTTAGCTGTTATTTTGCTAAATCGGAATCATGTCGGAGGAAAAAATCGAAGTGGAGACGTTTTTTGGGAGATGTAGATGTTGCCTCGCTTATGGCTACTTAAAAAACATGTGGTTAGAACATAAATACAATGGAAATTCGGAAATATACGGCGAAATGCTTGCCAAATGTTTTGCATTGACTGTGAGTATTTTTTCTTCTTGCTTTAGTTATGAGGCTATTTGCTCAACATCCTTGACTTCTACCTTTGTTCCAAATTTAAAACTTAAAATATCGAGATTCCCGCCCTACCTTCAAATCTCGATTATTTTGATCAAAATAAAATTATGAAATGATTTCAAACACTTGCTTACTGCGCATGCATGATGCAACGTCATAATTTATTAACTTATGACCCGATTGCAATTTTAAAATAGAATTATTGATTTTCTTGTAGAATGAAACTGTAACCTTGTGCACTGAAACTTTTATTACTTTACTGCTAATTTTTCTGATAAGCTTTGAAGGATTTCTACTCATTGACTGAGATATACATATTATTTTTAAGAAATCTGTAACGCACACTGGTTAAAAATTCCAAACAATATTATAAACAGAGGAATTTAATAGAAACATATTTTTTTAGTACTACAACCTTATTTTGATATGACCTTATTATTAAAAAAAGAACTGAACAATGGTTATAAAATTCAAATCCTATTAGATTTTTGTAATGGAATATGTAAATGGTACTTTATAAAATTAATGTCTATTTTATGGCCATGAAACTTAACATGATTTTAACAAGTTACAATTTAATGATTACATCTTTTTCAGTCTGCATTGTGAGGGCAAAGCCAAACATGTACTGCGGCCTGTGCCCTTTAATAATTAACCTCTCATAAAAAAACACAAAGTGCAGACATAATATATTCTCTACTTTTATAACTACATATATTTTTATATATTGTAGGATTATATTGTAGGTGAAGAGATATGTTAAAAATGTAAACCAAGTCAATGTTTTGCTAATCTGTAAAACAAATATCAATTTGTTTAATACTACTAATTATTTTATAAATGTGAATGTTTGTGAGAATGTATTGATGCATGTTTGTAATTTTTTACGTAAAACGGCTGGGCTGATTGGGCTGAAATTTCTTATGTAACCTTGATAATTGACACATAGGCTACTCTTTATCAACATACTGTGGAGTCGGATCTAGTATGTAATAAAGAGACTTATAATATAGGCTTTTATCCTGATCCTTAACATACTTTCTGTTACACTTACATTTAAAAGAAACTTAAAGTTTAAAATTAGTCTATTATCTGTTGTTTGGTGATCTTTTGCAGATCTGTTAACCAATACAAACTAACATTTTTCACCCTGTCCTTACTTGAGCTACTCTGTTCCACGTCACGCCTGCCACCTCTTTGATGTCATAGTCCCATCATTCTTGCGGTCGCCTTCTCTTCATTTTCCCTTCCCTTGGTTTCCATACTACAATACATTATAAATAGACTAAAACAACAACAGTGGTTCAATGATACATATTTTATTGTCCGACAGTGGGATCATTCTGAGGACTCCGCAGAGCAAGATCAGATATGTGAAGACTGTATCATTAGGCTCCGCGATGCGCATGAATTCAAGAAGGTCATCTTGGATTCACAGGATGAACTTACAAGGATGTTGGAAGACGGTAATATGTGTTCTGCTGTTAATTTTGAACGAACTATTTTTTTTATGCAATATGTCGGCAAACGAGCAGACTGATTACCTGATGGTAAGCAATCAGCGCCGCCCATGGATACTCGCAACGGAGGAGTTACGAGTGCGTTACCGACCTTTTAGGGATTAGGGATTGAGGAGGGATTGGGGGAGGGGAAGGATTGGGCTTTCAAAAAGGAGGAAAATTTTCTATGTCACTGTATATGAGCTAGCTTTTTTTACCTTTTTTTTATTTACTTTTGAATGAGCTAATGGAACATTGTTGAAATATTTTGATTATTCATAAATAGATACTCTACTGTGTAAATGGCACAGTGATTGGGTGTTTTCCTATGGTCTATCGGTTTAAGTAATTTACTAAATGTAAACAATCTTCGCATGTGTTTTTATCTAAAAATTGTATGTAAAATTGATTACAATTTGGTTACCTAAATCAATGTTAGATAACAAACTAAATTTAAATAATCGTTGTACATATATATTTTATACGACCACTATAATATAAAAGACATTCCAAGATTGTTTACCGTTAGTTAACCTTAGCCGATGGACCATAGATTGTTTTTTACTATGAGATGGGGCGGCAAATGAATAGACGCTTTACTTGATGGTAAGCAATCGCGGCCACCCATGGCATCCGCAACACGATAAGAGTTACAGATATTTAAGTGATGGAAGGAGGAGGAGGGATTGGGTCTCCGGTAACCACACTCAGACTGCGCCCCCTCCCCCCTCCCAAAATTTCCTAATCCCCAAAAGGTCGGCTACGCATTCGTAATATTGCGTTGTTTCGGGTGTTCATGGTCGACGATGATTGCTTACCATCAGGTAATTCCTAAGCTCGTTTCCCGCCCTATCTCATCATAATATCTACTATCACATGAAAAAGAAACTAAAAACGGCTGGACGAATTTGCTTGAAATGGCATACTTATAGCGGGCAAACTCCTGGCGGAAGCTAATATACAATATTTTTACAGCAATGTCTCACTATGTTTACTAACAAGATAACTTTCAATTCACAGAAAATGAAATCACAATAAAAGAAGAAAGACTTGACGAGAAATTTTTAGCTGAACATCCAGATGATGATGAGGACAACATGAGTCATACGGAGACAGAATATATTTCATTTAACAATGATACTATGGAGAGCATCAAAGAGGAGGCTCCGGACGTTGAGTATACTGATGTGGAGTATTTGGAGGATGAAGTAGCAAATATCACTGCGGTTGGTGATAGTGTAATGGGTGAATACAATGCTATAGAAACTGGTGATTCCGGTGAGTGTTTTTCAAAGTCAAAATCATTTATTCCAACTAAACCATAAGTAATATATAGTAGTAAGTGTGGGAGAGTCATGCTTCGGCACGAATGGGTCGGCACGACCGGAGTGATACCACGGCCTCATAGAAAACCGGCAAGAAACAACCACAGCGTTGTGTTTCGCCGGTTTTCTACCGGAGGCCCGATCCTTCCCCTCCCCCAATCCCTGCTCAATCCCTAAATCTCCAAATCCCTAATCCCTAAAAGGTCGGCAACGCACTCGTAACTCCACCGTTGCGGGTGTCCATGGGCGGCGCTGATTGCTTACCATCAGGTAATCCGTCTGTTCGTTTGCCGACCTATTACATAAAAAAAGTAGGTACTTTTGAAACGTCAAAATAGAATAGTAGTCCGCCAGTCTGTTCGTCAATGTAACGAACAGACTGGCTCGCTCAAATGTTAAGTGCTCGTTCCAAATTGTAGATTCGAATGGAGAAGAACAAGCAAGAAACGCTTTCGGTATTCTATAAAAAAAGAATGTTTTACAGATATACTTACACATTATTGAACCCATATGTGAGAACAATGCAGAGAACAAGTTGTAAAAAAAGATCAAATGTTGGGATCGATTTCTTTTATACATAACCTGTTTTGCCCATATCCTGTCACACATGCTCCAACTTAGGGGTCCTATCAACGCTTTCGTTGTTTTTATAATAACTATCGTGAGACATACTAAATTAACTAAAAATCGCGGGTTACTCACGTGTATATATTGAGAAAAACTCTACTAGTTTCGAACCACAGAGGGGTTCTTCCTCATGAGCAGCGTGCGCGGACGCGGCGACGTCGCGCAGCCTACTCAATTTTATTTAACGATTTTTAGTTAACGCTTTCGTTGTTCATTACTTTGCTTTTACTTTCCAATCCCAATTGAGTTCATACTAATGTGCCCTTACATCTAATTATTATACCTTACCTTACATCTAAACGGCTAAAGGATAAGCCAACAATATTTAAACCCTCGACATTAGACGAGAAAACTATCAAACAAATAGAAAATAAAAAAAGGTGTATGAAAATTCATACTAATGTGCCCTAACATCTAATTATTATCTTAATACAAAACTTTCAGATTCATCACAAACATACAATCCGCAACCAATACAAAGAAAGAAAAGACCAAGGGTTTTCGATACAGAAGAAGATGAAAGCGGAAAACCTAAGAGAAAATGGCCACAGAAGCTCCCTAAATCAGAGAGGCACAAAACTTACAAACAGTATTCTGAGATGGATCTAAGGAAGTGTTTGGAAGAGGTCCGTAGCGGAGCCCTAACTCCTGGTGATGCGGCCGTCCAGTATAATATACCTAAGAAGACCATCTGCGCCAAAGTCAAAATGAATACTACAGGTCAGTGACGTTTTTATACTGTTTGTTTTTTTCAATGTGTAGTCGATATGGTTTAAGCTTTGTCTAAAATATTAATGGACATTGTTATAATAAAAAAAAAAAACAAAGTCGGATTTAGAATCTCCTTTTTTTGAAGTTAGTTTAAAAGAAAGAGTTCGCACAGGATATAAAGCATTGGGTGCATGTAGAATGAGAAATTCTTGTATATTATTTAGAAATATTTTCTTTATCGACTGCACATTTTAATTTGAAGAAAACTGGTCATGTAGAGTGATTCGCTTTCGTATTTTTTTTTGTGATTTTACATTGCTGATCTACATAAACCACGACAAAATACATTTGATCAGTTTTCTTACATTTTAAGCGCCTAGTGTCTTTATTGCCGTATTATTTAAATCACACGGTATGTGTGAGTTACTCTCCACGTAAAGAAAGGTTATGTTGATGATAATTTAACTGAACTTGCTAGATCCTGCATTGAAATGTTTGTCTGGTGTATCTTGGGTAGTCAACTGACGTTATTTCCTTGCTGGCTATACAAAATGATTACTATAACATTACTTTCTACTGAAAAACAATTTAATACAAAAAGGCCCCAAAACGATGCCTTGGGGAACCCCAGTGCCCAAATTGTGATAATATTATGAAAGTATTACAATTTCTTTAACATTTTTTTATTTATGTTTGTTATTGAATATATTTGACATGAAAACAACGTATGTTCTTCATCTGTGCGTTATAATTTTTGTTAAAACATGCGTTATGTTGTCGAAGGCTTGCTTTGAAACTAAAAACACTTCCTTAAATCGGAAACATTCCGCGAAAAACACGTGCCTCTTACAAACTAGGAAATAAGAAGACAAAATATTATTTTGACCCAAAAAAGGAGCGATATATAAATTCATCTACGTAATAAGCGATCGAGGCTTCAGAATTATACAGACGCTTGCACTCGTACAGTTATTAGCACAAAGCCGGTGATTCTGAACCAACATCTTTAGTATATGTAAACAGAAGACGATTAGCCGTAAAATTAACACAAAATATAAATGTGATGAAAATATCGAAATCAATATATGAATTTCTTGTTGTAGATGTCCCGATTGACAATACAACGAAATCGAAATTGGGAAGACGCGAAAAACGGCTAAAGAAAAAGCCAACAATATTTAAACCCTCGGCATTGGACGAGAAAACCATCAAACAAATAGAAAATAAAAAATTAAAAGTAAAAGAAAGAAAGAAAAGTGTTGAACAGAAGGAAATTAGTATCAAAAAGAATAAAGCTAATAATGATTTTAAAGAAAAAGTAGAAATTATACTAGATCCTATTAAAAAATTAGATCAAGTTGACGCTGAGCAAGTTAGGACACGTTTCAAAGCTATAGTTAACGAAAAACTCAAAAAAGGCAACAAAGAGCGACAGAACCAAGAAACTAGCGAAATGAATAAGCACAAACATAATCTCAAAAATATTCTGGATCATTCTAATGCGACGGTTATAAAAGGGTTTTGGACTCGCGGTTATCATTGCGGCTTTTGTAAAGAGCACAGGCAAACAGCTTCAGATTTAAAAAAGCACAATTTAGAAGCGCACAACTTGATAGATGACGTTATAACAGTCAAATACGTTTCCGATTTATTCATTAGACTCGATATTACAGATTTAAAATGCAGAATTTGTAATGCGAAATTAAAGAAAATTGAAGATTTGATCGAACATTTAAGTAAAGCCCATGATATAAAGTTCCATACGGATATCAAAAACTATATCGTTCCCTTCGTTTTAGACAGTGAATCGTTGAAATGTGCGGTTTGTAAAAAGGAGTTTAGATATTTCAAGTTACTCTCTGAACATATGAGCGAGCATTACAGGAACTTTGAATGTTCCCATTGCGATAGAGCGTTTATAAACAAACAAAGTATGCAAACACATATATACAGACATAGGAAGGGCGTTTTCAAATGTTCCCATTGTCCAAAAGTCTTCGATACTCGCCCGAAGAAAAGCGTACATGAAAGGGTAGTTCACGCTCTTTCGAACAAAACTCGAAAATGTTCTCAATGCAACGAACGCTTTGGTACCACAGATCTAGTACAGGCTCACGAAGTGAAAGTACACGGCGTCAAGCCATTCATTTTCTCTTGCCAGGCTTGCCACAAGACCTATAACAGTCAAGGTTCATTATTAACACATAGAAAACGCTATCACCTTATGTTAAGACCGCATAAATGTTCCTATTGCGAAATGGCATTCTTTTCCCGAATTGAATTGAAATCCCATATGGTTACGCATACTAAAACAAGGGATTTTAAATGCGAAATGTGTTCGAAATCGTTCGGTACGCGGTGTAGTTTGAATCAACACGTTAGGGTGCATTTGAATGATCGTAAATTTAAATGTGATCTATGTGATCGGACGTTTGTGCATAGAACTGCTTATAGAGGACATATGAGGACGAAACATAGTACTATTGTCTGATGTCTTTTAATAATTATCAAATGTGGTTTTCCCCTTTTTTCGTGCTCATCTAAAGACGATAATGTAATATAGAGGTCTGTTTGTTTCAATCATCATCATCATCAGCCCATAAGTGCCCACTGCTGACTAAAGGCCTTTTTTCACACGGAAAAGGTTTGAGCAAATCACCACGCTTGGTTAATGCGGGTCGGCGATTTATAATTAGAAATTATAAGCCCAGTTTTCCTTACGATGTTTACCTTCACAGTATGTCAGTGGTGACTGGTGTCTAAATAATCATAGAAAGTACATATAACTCGGTAAAGTCACAATGGTACTTGCCAGGTACTGAACCCACACATTCATGCATGAGAAGCGGGCTCCTTAACCTCCGGGCCACCACGACCACAATCAATCAAGTTAAAACTTGGCGACCAATAAACACTTTTATCGAATTACCAAATACCACGGTCAATTCTTGAAACTTGCTCTAAAAATACTAATTTTAAGTGCAGCCTAAAATCAACGATTGACTGTGTTATTATTTTACACAAGCTTCTAACCGCGGCCTTTATTGACAATTCGCAATCCGCATATCCTCAAAACTGTCATGCCTAAAAGGCCTAACGGTTGCTGCTGTAAGCGTAATAATTTGCCGTGGCCCCAGTCCGAAATAAGAGTGAGAAATTGGGTGGTGTTAATCAGTAAGAGTCTGAGTGCGAATGGGTATTAGGTAGGCTCGACTGGAGTGATACCACGGCCTCACAGAAAACCGGCGTGGAACAACCGCAGCGTTGTGTTTCGCCGTGTGAGTGAGGTTACTGGAAGTCGAGTCCTTTCGCAAAACAATCCTGCAACGAGTCAACAACGCACTCGTCACCCCTTCTTTGTTGCGAATGTCTATGGGTGGCGCTGATTCCTTACCCTATAATCGGTAATCATATAAATAACTTCCTTTCGCCTCATCTAAAACGGAAGAAATCATTAGATGATTTTCCTGCCTCCAAAAAAACTGCTTTACTCTGGTGCGGTTGGTGTATCGAATGTATATATTGGTCCACAAAAGTTGCAAATGCTTATGAGTACCTATTTCAGCTCTAACTAACCATATAAAAATACGTTTTTACATGCGCTTTATTGATTGTTATCAATTACATATTTTTCTTTATTTGTACAATACTTAATAAATATTTGAAAAATGAATGTCGTTTAACTGACCAATGCTTTTTTTTAACTGAAGCGAAATCAAAATCAAAGTCAAAATCATTTATTAGAATTGTACCACAGTTGAACGTCAAGTTTAACTTCATGCGTGTCCGTCTGTCCGTCTGTCATCTGGTGAAGCTATTTGCTCGTTCCAAAATGTAAATTCCTATGGAGAAGAACGATCAAGAAACTCCATGGTTACTCTTTTTCAATCAGTTTTACAATTCATTTCTTTGTTACATCATTTAGTCGAGAAGTCTTTTGAAAGTTCGAAGCGAAACCGAAGGGTCCATCTGTAATGAATTTTCTCTTATTGTTGTGTCCTAACTAGACAGATTTAATGAATGTGTCAAAGAAACTAAAGAAGAAACTCTTGTTTGTAGATGTCCAGTGGAATGACACTGCGAAGGGAGAGAACAAACAGAAAAGTAAGATCATTGTACAAAAATTCAAAGAAAACGTACGCACTTTAATTAAGTGTACCAACGCAACGCCAATCAAAGGACACTGGGGTATTGGCTACGCTTGTCTCCATTGCCCATATCAGACCCCAAACCCTCCCGAACTTAAAAAGCACACGTTAACAACTCATTTCTCAAATTCAGAACCCATTGAAAACGTAAGATACGTTTCCGATATGGTCCTAAGAGTTGATGTAACAGACCTTAAATGCGAAATTTGTGACCTTCGAATGGATAGCCTGAAAGACGCCATGATACATTTAAAAAACAATCACGAACAACCAATACATTTGGATATACCAGATCATATTATTCCGTTTAAGTTTGATAACGATTTTTTGCAATGCGCTCTATGCTCGAAGCAATTCGATTACTTCAAGCATTTGTCTGAACATATGACGGAACATTATCCAAACTACGAATGCGCGGATTGCGGAAAACACTTCATAAATACTAGAGCTTTGAGGACGCATGTAATTAGACATCAGAAAGGCGTTTTCGTGTGCGCTTTTTGCTCCAAAATCTTCGACACAAGGATCAGAATGAAAGAACACGAGAGAGTTTTGCACATGAAGGGGTCTAAGACGAGAAAATGTGGGTATTGCGACGAAAAATTCATGGATACAGTTCGGAAAAATGACCACGAAGTAAAAATACACGGGGCTCCGATACCACAGTTCTCGTGCAAAGCCTGCGGGAAGAATTTTGACAGTCAACGCTCGTTGAAATCTCATATAAACCATTTTCACCTTCTACTAAGACCCCATAAATGTCCGGAATGCGGTAAAGGGTTTTACAACAAGAACGAAATGAAGAGACATACAGTAAAGCATACGAAACTGAAAGAGTATCAGTGCCAAATATGCTCCAAATATTACGTCACCCGCAGTTCTCTGAAATCCCATATGAAAATACATGATAATCAGGAGTTGTTTACTTGTGAACGTTGTGGAGATACCTTTATACAGAAGAAGGCTTGGATACAACATGTCACCAAGCACGCTGATGAAGCGAAAAGCGATATGGACGCTGTTGATAATGCTAGTCAGGATAGCATATTTGCCTAGTTCGGATTCTACAACCAGCTTGTAAAGCGTGGCGGTAATGGCATACCTATCTTTTATAAGAGAGATCAAATCTATGGAAATGGATTTTAACGGATATTTGACGATGATAATAATTCAAAATCCTTTTTTTTTATTTTCCTGTCCTTATCCCAAGTTTCTTGGGGTCGGCTTAATATCATCTTTTATTCAGTGAGGCGTAAAAGAAAACTATACTTAAATAGAATAAATTTAAGTTCAGAATTAGGAAGTTGCTAAGTCATTGCTCATTGTGAAATACAGGGTGTAAAAAGACACTTAATGAAATACAGGGTGTAAAAAGACACTTAACGAAGCCGTTAACTACGCATACTGCAGTTCTAACTAAGTAGCTTTACGCTAAAATTATCACTGGGAAACGACTTTTATTTTTAGGTACCTATTAAAAAAAAAATTATTGCGCGCAATGTAAAGCAAACGGGCTTCGTGTCATTTTGTGCGTAGGTTCACAGCTTAGCATTAAAACGCTGTGATAAGTACGTAGGTCGACGTTTTACTTCGCAACTACAAAACAATTCTGTAAAATAAAAATCCTACTGAGATGCACGATGTTTTTTGTGCGGGTCTGCATTTATTAATTACGTACATTACTGTTCGTAACTTCAAATGCGTAATTTATTTAGAAAAATCGAAAATTGAGGTAATGTTTGTTTGGAAAAAAGTTTTGTAATAATACTTAGAAGTCGATTGCGCAAAAAAAAAAAATTAAAAATGCATCTTTGTCCTTTAATATCTCGAGAACCCGTGGAGTCCCAGCTATGGTCTTAAAGAAAAAAATGATCTAAATAATGAGTAGAATACGTGGCTTTCGGCTTCGTTAAGTGTCTTTTTACACCCTGTATACTGAATCGTGACGTCACATGGTGTATCGCTGAAAGTATTTGATTCCTTAAAGAAAGAAAAACCACTACGTAGTATAAAACAAAGTCGCTTTCTCTGTCCCTATATCCCTATGTATGCTTAAATCTGTAAAACTACACGACGGATTTTGACGCGCTTTTGTTATAGATAAAGAGATAGATAGTGTGATTGAAGAGGAAGGTCCATATGTATAATAACATCCTTTAAATAGTGGATAAATTTTGTATGATCATTGCACCCATGCGAAGCCGGGACAGGTCGCTAGTACGTGTATGTACGTGTAATATGAACTAAGTAATCTAAAAGGCAGACATTAAAAGAAAAAAAAATGTAAAAATTGGTCATTATTCCTATAGTTTATGAGACGGTTTACCTCAATGGAAAAGTCTTCTCTTATAGTTTCTTATAATCTTTCTTCTCTATACACCCGATTGCGGCCAAGCCACAAAATATCGGGTTTTATTTAAATTAAATATGTGTTAATTAAGTTATGTACATACAATAAATGACTCGGTATTTTTACGAGATATCAAATAAATGTGTTTTCTCTCTCTATATATGTAGTTTTTCTCGCTTCTTAGGACCTAAAACGATTGTGGCGCCGTCTAGTGATTGAAATAGGCAACTAATGTAGTTTTTTTACACTCCCTGCAGCTCTAGTCTGGGCGAAAACAGTCATTTGATGATTTTCTCACAAAAAAGTCTCGGGAAAGTAGTGAAGTTATGTTGACAGCAAGGGATCAATAACACTATCTCATATACACCAGACTTGCATATGAAATGCATCGATATTTTACTAGCCAATTTTCATCTCTGTATCACAATATTTAGCGTAAGTATTGTTATGGTACTTGTACGCGCTTGGCAAGTCTCGACGAGCATCTGCAATCACTAGCGTGTGAAGAGGGTGTTGGCAATGCCGGCGGGAGGGCGTGATGGGGCGATGGCCCAGGGCGACAAATTGGGTCGAAATTACCCAATTATTACCCTTTAATATATAATAATATAATTAATACCCTAGGTCAAAAATGAATTAATAAGTTTCAATACAATGAAATATTTAAAAATAACCATACTTTTATTCATCGATCCATCGATACACTAAGTTTTAGATATTTTTTAGCTTATTATTAAAAAATAAGTAAGTTAGGTATTTGACGCAAAAATACTATGTCATCACAACTCAGTTTTTCAAAGAAAAGTATCGTTTTTGACATTTGGATAAAAGTATTGTATTTGACTAGTTGGAAACTACCATATTCTGGGGGGCGCCAAGGTCTGAAGTTGGAGTCTCTTGCCTCTCCTGGTGCAAACCCTCAGATCTATGCTTTATGCATAGGCATATTTTTATTGAGATTTTTTTAGATGGATTTTTTGACTTATTACTTACTATTTACTTTTTTTGACTACTTACTTAGTATTTTTTGTTGCTAAAAGTCAATCTACCGGTGGCTCGATTTCTTATTTCAAGAATAGCCCGTGGCCAACGTGTATATATATTTAAGAAAACAAAGCAAACTAACTAAATTATTTCTTTTACAGAATATCAAGACCCGAAAAAAGAACAGACATATCAACTAATAAAGGAAATAAAAGCCATCC